TTTTTAAGGTGTCACCAGGGCTGTATAGCATAGTGGTAGCGAAGGTAGGCTTTGAAGTCAAACGGATCTCGGTGTGGGCTGTGGCTAATCGCATACTGGTTGTGTCATGTCCAGCAAGTTACTTAACTTGTGGCTCCTTAGTTTGCTCACCTGTTTAAAAATAGTGGGGATAATAACAGTTTCTGCTGGACCATTGCAGGATGTCAGTGAGACGTATCAAGTGCTTAGCATGGGGCCAGGAGAGGTAAAGTTTCAGTAAAGGGTAGGTGTTACTATTTAATCCCAGAAATAGCTGATGACCTTGGAAGGTGACAGGATGAACATCTCTGACTACTAATTTTCTAACAAATATTTATCTATTGCTATGTATCTGGCATTGTAGACTCTGCCTTGGGTTATCTCATTTAATGTTCACAATGACTGCCAGGTCAGTGGTGGTTTCTCCATTATTATAGAGAAGGAACAGCCTCAGAGAGGGTAACGGGCCTGTACCAGATACCACCAGTAGGAGGCATCAGGGAGGGGGCGTTCTTGGCAGGAGATCAGTCTTGCATGAAGGCTTCTGCTTTGCCCTAACTCTCATGGCCTGTGGCCATTCGGCTCAGACAGCTCTAGTCAGGACATTATCAGCAGCTTTCGGATGATCCTGCCTTCCAGGATCTTCCAAACACCTAAATTTTTCCGTCAGTTGCCTTATCTTTTGGTTGTTTCCTTACTTGTTTTTGTGTGGACTGTGGGAGGAAGAAATCCATTTCAAATCTGCTGAAATCTGTTACCAAGCAACAGCTCTGGTTAAAAGCAACCTAGTGGATGAGACAGAAGTTGAGAATTAGTGTTTTAGGCCCCGCAGCTGGTAGTGGTCTCTGTTTCCCTGCTGCCCTGCCTTCCATCTTACCCTGATCACTGCTGGGTGAAGGAGGGCTCACTTTATTTTCTGAGTGAAGGGAATGGCTGTGATGACTCTTGTGAATGGGAGTGTGGTTCTTAGCTGAGGGTGCACATCTGCCTGTGTGGAAGCACTGCCTGAGCGCCCTCCTCCCTGGGCTGTTTGCTCTGCATGCACTGCATTGTGCGATGTTGGGAGGAGCACTGCCCTCCAGACCACCAGAACCAGCTCCCAGTCCCCTTGGCCTTCTCACCCTTCTTTCAAGCTCCAGAGACTGCTTATTCGATGTTGGGCAGGTCGTCTACTGACTCACTCCCATCTCCTGTCTCACTATCTCAAAGGTGTCCCCTTTTGCAGAACGTGCTCAGGGGGAGACTTCGCTTCTCCTACCCTTCTGCGCGGCTGCTGCTCAGACCCCAGCTGGAGGTATCGTGTCCCTGGGAGGGGTGAAATGCTATCCCTAGCTTAGCATTTTCACTGGGTTGATTATCTCAGTGCTGGAACATCTATCCATTGCACTCGTATGATGGCTTTGAGGATATTCTCTCTGAGTGCCACCTCCCTTCCACCCTAATCACTGTATACTCAGGGAGCAAGAAATAACATCATGAAATGCGTTCCAAATAAAATTAGTTTTTGATACTTTCATTAGGATAGATAAAAGTGGGCCATACCATAAAGAAGGTGTGGAGGATACTGGTTTGGCCCTGTGAGAGTGACAGCTGTTGCAGTATAAAGCGGTGGGATTTGGAGTGAATTGGGAAATCGAAGCTCAGCCCTGTGGCTGTGGGTCTTCTTTGCTATGGGACAGCTTATACCAGGCATTCCTTATCTTTTCTTTTCTCAGATAACTTCTGACTGGAGTCGACTGCAGGATTATAAATACTTTGAAGTTCACAGCCTATCCTAAAACCTCATTTTCAGCAAATAACAGCAACAAAAAAATCAGTGTTTAAAGGTTTGTGAGGCCATTTGCTAGATTTTTGGCATAGATTTTTATTAATTTAAAAATCCAAGATTTTTTTTTTATGAATTAAGATGTACAGTTGTTTATTTGCGACAGCATTTTTAAAAAAGTTAACAGACCTCCAGCTGAAGTGAAATACAGATTTATGTCAGTGTAACTCTTGATAAGATATCAAGAAAACAATAAATTTTTTGGAAATTTTTGTTTAAAAAGTTGGGATGTCAAATTATGTGACTTTGAAGTATGTTCTAATTCATAATTCTCTGAAATTCTGAGATCTTTGTGTTTTTGAGTCAAGAGGAAAGTGCAATAAAATTTATCTGATCCCAGTTCACTCAAGATAGGGTATTTAGTTGTATTTTAGTTATTTCCAGTTCTACCCCAAATACATAGGTGATACTCCCAAGTCCCTGATACTTAAGCTTTGCTGTTGGTTTTATCAGATTTCTGTTGCAGGAGGCTAATGGGGAGTAACAGAGCCTTTGTTTATGTAAATCAACAAAATAAAATTACATCCTTTCTAGCAGGAGCTGAGATACTGATAATGGGCTTAGAAATGTATGATTTTCGATAGACAGTGATCTGAAACCAGGGAAGAGTGAGTCCAGTAGATAGGAGAAAGTTTGCTATTTAAAATGAAATGTCCACAGCATTGTAACAATCAATAGCAATGTATGCATTCACAAGTAAGTAATGCCATGACATTTAATAAACATCCTCAAAAAAAACCCAAACAATAACAATAACAGCAGAAGGACAAACGATCCCTCATATAAGTAGGCTGGCTACCTGGACATAACATCCTCACGAGGCATTCTAAAAGATCAAATTGAGGCTGGTATCTGGGCGAGTGTTGCTCTTTGCCTGTTGAATGTCCACACTACAAGAGGTGATGAGCCTTGTTCTAAGTACAAGTGAACTTGTATTTGTGTAATCTCCTGAAGGAGAGCTATAGTTTACATTCAATTTTGTGGTCTTTCTGCTATGAGAAGTGTTTATTTTGCCTTTTTCAATGCGTTCACTTAGCAACCTCGAATAAGGAAAGGAAAAATATAACCCTTTGAACTGATCTTTTGCTGCTTTTGTAAATTCTGATTGTGAATTTGGGAGTGAGGATGTTCAAAAGCCCATGTGAATTTATATGCCTTCCGAACATTGTGCCTGTTCATGTGATGAGCTTTTAAAACACTTTGTTAAAACATGAATCAATTTTTGTAATTATATAGATGCTCATAACTAATTTTGAATGCTGATTGCATAACTAAAGTTTTATAATCAAAAATATATTCTTGAGTACTACTTTTCCTACCTTGGGAATCCATTTCATATAATAAATATTGTTTTCTTTTTTACTAACTTATTTCAAAGAGAAAGAACATTGCTGATAACTAAATTGTCTACCCCCAGACTGTACAATTTTTTTTTGCTTTTTTTCCTTTTCCAATAAATGCTAGCCCTGTGATCTTTAACAAATCTAGTGTCTCGTATTCATGTCTGTTTTTTCAGAAGTCAGCCGAATGAAGATTGTATACAACAAGAAAAGACCGTATCTTTAATTTGAATTCTTAGTGCATAGCACACATATGTTTTTGGGGGTTAAATTGATATGTAGTTCTTTCTTTCAAATGGCTTAGGGTTTAACATGGATCTAAGGATTGTTTTGACAGTTTTTGAAAAGTAAGAAATTTTCTTAAGTGTTATTTTGGAATATTCCTGCACACCTAGCTGGTTTAGTTATTTTGTGTAAACTAAATTGTCAAATTAATTGGCATAAAATTGTTCATCATATTCTCTTATTCTTTTGATATCTGAAAGATTTGTACTTATGTCCCTTTCATTGTTAGTAATTGGCCATTTGAGTCCTCTCTTTTTGCTTTGATCTGTGTAGCTAGAGGTTTATCAGGTTTTTTGTATTGATGTTTTCAAAGAC